CGCTCTTTAGCTGTTTAGCATAAAAGAATGGTGAGAATTATAGAAAAAGGTGTAGCAAGGAACCCTTCCTGAGGAGGATGGAAGAAAGCTACTGATGCTAAAGTATAATAGGAGATGCCAGTCTGAAAAGATTACAGAAGGTAATACAGAATTCTTGACGAGAGAGATGAAAAAATCCTAGGTGGCACAGAGAGAATATACAGATGCATAAAGTGAGAAAGACATAAAAACGTCCCTAATGGATGACATAAATTCAGCGTATAGAAGGCTACTCACTTCAGGTAGTTACATGCTATTGCATTGGTCATATTCGTTTTTACTGTTCCCATTCAATTCAACTTTGTATCTCATTTCTCAAACTACTCTTTTAAAATTCTTCTGATGTCTTTCTAGAAGCTTAACTTTGTGTGCTTCATAATGTTAACATAACAGAAGCAGCATTATTATGACAGCTTGTTACCCGCTGTCCAATCCCCCAGTCTCTTACAGAGCAGGGAGAAACCTCTGTAGCCACAGTTTAAGACATAGTGTTAACTGATACATATTAGTGTATTATGCTGCATTTTTTATGCTATACATTAATAAACTTCCCAGTTTGAAAAAACACAGGATGTTTTAGCGAGAGTAGAAAATTAACAAGTGCCTGCAAATTCTAATCTATTCTTACTACAGCATTATACTAAACTGTTACTTATAAAAGTCTACTTATTTATCTGTATCTCTTCAGTTACTGCCTTAGAGAAGCAATTTACATCACAATATTTTTTACCAGGCCACTTCTTTCTGTCAAATTCATGTGAGTTCATAGCAAGCACCATCAAACGATGTGCTGAACTACTTTTAGATGAAAAATGGTGTTCTAATACTGCTGTGATGTATTAATACTTAGCAGACTGGAAATGTGATTTATCCTCCTTACCAGTAATTTTCAAATGAAAGAGTGGTTTTTAAACTCTGAAAAAATGATTTTATTTTTACCTTTCATTCTTCATATTCTCCCCAGGCTGTAGCGGAATGCTGTTAAGGATCAAAAAAATCTTACTAGAAAGGAAGGAACTGACAAGTTCAGACGTGACCATCAAGAGCTGAAGGACGTAAAACCGGAGCCTAACAGGTAAGCGGAACTGTAGATCAGTTCAAAAAGGAAATGAAATGCAGAAAGTTATAAGGAAATCACAAAAAGGAAAAGATGCCACCAAAGGTTTCCTAAATGACTATAAATACATGGGAAGAATGACAGTAACAAGATTATAATCCTCTTTTCTATAACAAGAAGAATAACAGAAGTTGAACTGCAGTAATGACCAGGACCCGTAAGCTTTGTCAATATTTTAATCTACTCTGGAAGCAGGCCAGAAACTAGCAGGATCTCTTTAAAGATGCTAGTTCCCTTTTCTGTTAGGAAAAAAGGCGGCATTTCTGCCTCCTTTGTCACTGAGCTGAAATCAACAAAACAGCCAACACTGAATATAATATTCCAAAAATTAAAAGTAAAAAGCTAGTTTAGATACTCAGGAGGCTTCTCAAATTTGAAAAACGACTTCAGGAAAGTTAAGAACTGGGAGAACAGTGTGACTAATTTTTTGACCAGTGGATGTGTCAAGACATGCTGGATCAGACCTTGCACTTTAGGAAATTTTGGTGGATTGTTCTGTTGCGAATTTGACTGTTTTCCTATCTATGCTTTTGGCATACACATAATTCTATGAAAGTTTAATCACATATTGTATACAAAAATTTGTTTTAAGGCCTCTCCACATGTTTAGTTTTCTTTGCTGATGACTCCTGCACTTTCACAGGTCTCCTATGTTGTACCTGAAATGGGCTGATCAAACTGCACAGGAAGGTGCATTTGTGTTTAAAGGCATCTTTATTTCTCACTCTCAAAATTCTATCTGTGGTGTCAAGTACCACTGAGGACTGCATGAATGTATTCTTAACAGACATCCATGCCACCTCCTAAACTGTTTTTTGACTGGTGAGACTAAATCCAGCACTCAGCATGGCATATTTGAATTTCTTCTGCCATTTTATCATACACTAACAAACACCTTTGCAATTTTTTTGACTTCACCAACTCATTACTCAGTCACTTTTCCAGACTTTTTTCTGAATAATTAAGATCTGAACACAGAACTCACTCTTCTATTGGTGATCTATGTCCATTATTTAACATAAAAGTCCCTTTAGTTTTAGCTGTTCTTTCCTAATCATGAATAGGTTACAAATTTGTAACAGGACCTTCATCTCTATTCTGACAGCCCAATTTGTTTATAAGTATTCGATAAAAAACATGGTCAGAAATCTTTGAAAATTCAAGTTCAGACACAGTATTATCACTTAGATCACCTTTAACCAGACACTCAACACATGCTTTGAAATTTGTACTCTACGACAAGTCTAAGTAATGTATGGTCACATCATAGTTCACTATTTACACATTACTGATTTTAATGTAACAGACATAAAAGCAGCTTGGATGTGCACGCACGTATGCCTATAAGAATAATCAGGCACTTTACAACTGTTAGTGATGAAAGTATTCTAATACCTAAGAAATATCTTCATCCGTTGCCTTACCTGACTTTTCTGTAGATTAGATTCTTCCACGAGCTGTATGCAATCTTGGACTTTTGCAACAGCATCATACTTCTCCCTTTCTAGATTAGCACACTTTGTCTGAAGCTCTCTGATTTGTTTATCCAGGGCTGTTCTTTCTGTTCTCAGCTGTTCAGCCTCTTGAACAGTAACACGTAACCTACAAGACAACAGTAATTTTACTCATTTAACAATAAGATGCTTAATTAAGACACAAATTCTTTCACACTTAACTAACAGAAAACATTTATTCATAAGCTGCCAAAACAGCATTCCTGGTTTTCTGCTTGTTTTCGAACAGAGTCTCTAAGTTTAATATTCATCAAGTCCTAGAAAGAAAGAGAATTAAAGGAGTTAACTCAGATATCTAATCTCAGAAGATCCTTAGAAGAATGTTGCTATCCTGGGATACATCACTGAAAGCATTCTATATTAAACCAGAATAGAACAGCTCCAGAAGGAATAAAGTTTTCCTCTGTGGAGGAAATGGAATAATTGGATGTGGGCAATGAAGTTGCAGTTATACCATTAGAACAAGAAAACCACTGGTAATTTTACAGCAGCTCAGAAATTCTTATTGTTTAATTATGATTGTCAGTATTGCAGGCATGAGAAAGGGTGAGAGTGTCTCAGAGGTATCCTCAAAAAAGATCTCGGGAAGTTTCACAAGTCTTGCTGGTTCAATAAAGTGCACAGTTCTACACATCCATAGCGATCACTTTGGCAACACTTGGGCTGCCTTTTCAAGCAGCCATGCTTTTTTAACTTTCTAACGTGTTTGTAATAAAACATACAAAGCAAGACAACCACCCTATTTTTGTAGAACCAAAGCACAACTTTTGTAGAACCAAAACCCTATAGAAAATAATAAAACTAGCTGATTTCTTAAGACATTTTAAAATCAACTGAAGAGTCTCCACAATACTTAGGCCAGTAAAATTCATCAAGTAGAGGCAGCAACACCAACTCCTTGAGACACTACTTGACCACATAGTCACAAGGTTGTTTCCCTGGTAATTATTTGGCTTCTGGAGTTATTGAAAGTCTGCTAATCATATTCACTGGGCTGTGACCAAGAAGGGAAGATGAAGAGACACAGTTATTTCAGTCAGAAATTCACAAAATCTTCTTAGCTATCAGGCCATGTGACTAATGTTAATAATTCAGCTACTGGTTGTGATATTCGAATCAAAATCACTGTGCTCAGCTAAGTCGGATATCCTTGTAAAGTGAAAGGGAAAAAAAATCTCCATAGTTCTTTTGTATCTAAGACTACATCAGATATAAAAGAATCTGAGAGATTCTTAGATCTTCCAGTAGATAGTGCTGGAATTAAAGTTCTACTCCTTATTGGCTATTCAAACTACTTTAGTAACTAGCATTTGCTGTTCAGAAGTGTGCTTCAAGGGTTTTATTAAATAGTCTTTTTTGTATAAAGACTGCTGAACTAAGACCTGAAACCAAATCTCATTTAACATGGAATGAAAAATCTGCATTTGCCTGAAGAACAGCTACTTTACATAAACATTTTCAAATTTCAGTGTGAATTTTTTTTCCTTAGAACTTCACCTGAAGCTAATGAGAGTTAAGTTTAATAACTAGAATTTATGTACAAGAAAGAAAAATATACGCCTCTGTTTTTCTACATCATAGTCAATAAATTCAGGTGGTCTGTTTTATCATTTTAAATACACTGAAGTCAGAAATGAAGCGTAACATACCTGTATTTTGAGAAAACAGAACTTCTCAGAAACGCAAAACCCAGAGGCTAAAAAAAAAAGGTAGTATTTTATCTAACTTGCATGTATCCTGTTATTAACACCCAATGAGCTATCTTTACCTTGTTTCTAATTGTTTTATACTAGACTGCATTTCTTGCAAACGTTTGTCAGATGCTGCTTCTCTTTGCTGGGCAGATATCACGTCCTCTTCCTAGAAAGAACATATGTGTTATTGAGCTATCACCTGAGCTTCCTGGAACAAAATAAATATATACCAACATAAAACAAGTTACAGAACAACTTGTGGTTAATTTAATGTCAACATTCAGATACCTGACTAGCCATTCAATTGCAATGGAAAATTATTCCTTTCTCTAGAATACCTTTCTTTCCAATTGGCCTTGAAGCTTCTCTGTCAGTCTCATCATTTCATCAACCTTAGCATTTGCTGTCCGCTCATCTATTTTGGCTTGCCTGCATAAAGAAACCAGTCTATGAATTACATTTCAGTAATTATAGGGGAAGAAAAACCCTCTATTACAACTTTGTTGAAATAGCTGTGAAGGGCAGTCAGGTTTCGTAACACTCCTACAGGGCAGAAAAGGTTTACCCCTTCTCCTTCTTGCTATGTGGCACAGTGAGAGAGGAATACTAAGTTCATTAAACAGTTTTCCTGTGAAAATGACTTGTTAAGGATAGCTTAACAGAAAGGTTTGCATGTTGATTAAATACTTGGGAGGACTAAGCAATCAAAACCTTTAAGACATTCAATAACTTAAATATAATTGGCCACTAATACTTAATAGAGAATTTTTTTTCAGAACTGTATTTCACTTTTTAAAAGCAGTTTAACTAGGAGTTTAAAAAAAAAACATTAACCACTTCTGAAGAATTTAGCTGATGTGCTTTGCAGTCTGAAGAGCTTTGATGAGCTGAAACAGAAGTGGGGGGTAAAAAAAAGGACTAGTTAATCAATCAGACCTCCTCCCCACAAGAAAAGCTTATGGAAATGAGCAACCCTCCTACTTCTCTGACTTGAGAGCAGAAAGACACAGAAAGTCCTTCACCTGAGGTGTAACCCAATTATTCAGGCTGCATATTAGGCTAAATTTAAAGACCAATGATTGACTGTATCAGAAAGTTTTAAAAAAAGAGCAAACATATTAGATAAGATAAAGCAAATGTACTGATAGTCATGAAAGAAGCTAGAAAATTTTTAATACTTTTAAGAATCAACTTCAAGCAAAAGTTGGTTATAGAATTATAACTTCGATTTATTGGCATTAAAGGCAGGAACATATTTTATCTATATGAAGATCTTAAGCAAAACACACATAATCCCAGCAATTCTACTGCATATACTTAATTTCAGCTTAATTAATCAGAAAAGCTAATTTTGTTATAATTTCTTTAAAAAGCAACAGCAAAGATCAAAACTTTATTCCCATATACATGGCCCTCATTACGGGTCCAAACCTTTGATCTTACTCCACCTGAATAATGCGCTTTTCTTCTGCAAAAAATAGTTATATTTGTGAGGACACTAATTTGCTTCTGTCAAAAATTTAAAATGTGCTGTAAAATAAAACAAAACCTCAAAACCCAGCATAAGAAGGAAAAAAATCAGAAAAAATAGAGGTCATAAAACTCAAAACAGCTTAAGTATTAAAAAAGCATTTTTATGACCAAATTCAGAGGTGTGTTTAACAAGGAACAAATTTGATTCTAAAGATGCAGCTTTTATTCTTCACTGTGCAATATACCTTAAACTTGAATATTAGGATTTAGTATATAATAATATAAGCTTTAGGATTCAATGCCAAGTTTGTTAGCTTATATGCATTATCTACAGATCTTTAAAGATACTTCATTAGCATATAGATTAAAACACTTTTAATACTTCCTGCTAAACTCAACAGTTCACATCACAGGAGCAGACCATTTGATCGCTAACATCCCCTCTCCAGAGATGGCTGCAAGTAGCTAATTTAACAGAACAATAATACAGGTAACTAAATTATTAACTGTATACAGCAGAGTTTAGAAAGGCTAAAGCACTAATACATGTTTTAATAAAAATAAATAGCATATAAATAAGTGAAATCTGTTCACACCTCAACTGTCTACAGAAATACATCAAATATTACATTATCTCTATGCATAGCAATTATGATTGTTTAATAGCTAGCTCAATAGTACATAAACATGTATGTAAATAGTACAGCGTTGTGGCAGATGCACCCACCCTACTAAAGACCTGAGAAAAACCCAACAAAGGCAGTGCTAAAGTTTCTGGCCCTGGTGGCGCCAGGACTGCCTCCCCCCTCACAGCTCGTGTCTGGTCCACACAGTGGGGGTCAAAGGCAGGAAAGTTGGGGTCCTCAGCCAATAGGGGGTGACACGACCATGTATTGACCACAGATCAGATTCGACCAGGGTATAAATGGGGCCCCGTCAGAGGACTCATTTGAGTCGGTCCTCCTCGGAGCAGCGGGTCTGCAGTCGGGGACTCTCCCCTTGAGTTGGGACGCCACTTAAGGCAACCTCTCAAGACTGAGAGCCCTCCCTTTTTGGTGAGTGACTGAGTGCACATTTTGGATTGTTTGGCCAAAAACTTAAGAATTCTTAACTCAGCTGTGTCTGGTAATATTCCCAACCAGCATATCGAACCTGTATTTGTTAAATGTCAGTGGGATGATGTCTTGGTGAATTAAGTTTTGTCTGCTTCATTTCAGTTGCAGATTAAAGCTTGTTTGAGTTCATTATTTGTGTGCATGTAGCCATTTTGGTGCAATTCCGTGACAAGCATAACCGTGCATTTTATATTGAGTTTATGATGAGAAGCAATGACGTAGTTTGTAAACACTTCTTCAGGAAGTTTTTGCTGAAATGTAGTTTTTTTAATTTTAGGTAAGGCCAGCTTCTGATCTAAATAATAAAAGCTAATATTGTCCTGAAAATAACTTCAGCAGAACTCTAAAATTTTGTCTTTTTCCCAGATTACTTGCCAAAACTTAATCTAGCAGTCATCTTTTAGGGACGCATACTGGCGATAAAGGATGATAATACAAACATAAATCCTCTTATATGAAAGTTGTTTGGTTTTTTTTTAAATCTACTTTTCCTCTCTAGACTTGTTACCCTGTCACCATAAATCAATGTAAAAGCATCCAAAAATACTAGAATTGTCTGCAATATATGCTACGCAACCACATAAACTACATCTGTGTAACTTCATGTTAAAGAAACAACTAGTGAGAGCACTCCAGACTTTGAGAATCACTGCAGGACATTAGAGCTATACAGAGCTGCTGCTGTGTGCTTTGCAAGCAGAACAGTGCTGTTTTTAGGGCTGCAAGAACTTTTAGCTAATCTCAGCAGAATCTGAGTGTAATCAGTACCCCTAATTAAAGATGCAAAATTCCTCTGAAATGAGTTTGCCCAAAACTTAGGATGCTATGGGGAGAGTAACAGTTACAAAGGTTGCTCATGCTCACTGCAAGCCAGATGAACAGTTACGGACAGACTTTCGAGAAGACAGCCTTAAAGGAAGCATGAAAACTTGTGACTGTGTGTGACAGCCCAGCAGTGAAGCTGTGCTCGACCCTGTTAGGGATCGCACCATGGACACTGGCACTTTTTCCTCAGTCTGAGAGCAGCTGTCCAACCAGACACCCAGTGTGCACCCCCATGTCAGACTTACAGCACAGGGTGGAACAAATGGGGACCAATATGTCAGGTGTGCGTATGGGAACTCACGGGCTGCCTTCTCAGCAGACTCCAGGAAACAGTACAAGTTTGCATAAAGCAAAGGAAAGCACTAACACTTCCAGGAGGAGGGGTGTGCAGATGGGGGAAATGTGTGCTTCCCAAAAAGGGAGTATCTGTGCACCTGTACACGCAACACTTAATCCACATTTCCTGTGAGATGTGCGTGCACCCACATAAGAGCAAGTAAAAAAGTGTGAGATAGGCGCTTCATGAATTAATTACAGAAGGCTGTTTATAGATTTTTGTGTGTTCATTAATATACTGCAAATGCCTAGTATCATCATGCTGTCCTGGTGGACAGCAGGATGACCATGAGCCAGCACTGTGCCCTTGTGGCCAAGAAGGCCAATGGCATCCTGGGGTGTATCAGGAGGGGGGTGGTGAGTAGGTCGAGAGAGGTTCTCCTCCCCCTCTACTCTGCCCTGGTGAGACCGCATCTGGAATATTGTGTCCAGTTCTGGGCCCCTCAGTTCAAGAAGGACAGGGAACTGCTGGAGAGAGTCCAGCGTAGGGCTACAAAGATGATCAAGGGAGTGGAGCATCTCCTTTATGAGGAGCGGCTGAGGGAGCTGGGTCTCTTTAGTTTGCAGAAGAGGAGACTGAGGGGAGACCTCATTCATGTTTATAAATATTTAAAGGGTGAGTGTCACGAGGATGGAGCCAGGCTCTTCTCGGTGACAAACAATGATAGGACAAGAGGTAATGGGCACAAGCTGGAACACAGGAGGTTCCACTTAAATTTGAGAAGAAACTTCTTCTCAGTGAGGGTGACAGAGCACTGGAACAGGCTGCCCAGAGAGGTTGTGGAGTCTCCTTCTCTGGAGACATTCAAAACCCGCCTGGACGCCTTCCTGTGCAACCTCATCTAGGCGTTCCTGCTCCGGCAGGGGGATTGGACTAGATGATCTTTTGAGGTCCCTTCCAATCCCTAACGTTCTGTGATTCTGTGATTCTGTGATTCTGTGATCATGGTTTACCTGTTATATTATTAATATTGATCAGTAATGTGTAGGCCATTGACAGTCTGTTTATTAGTGGCATATAATTAAATGCTGATTGACTTAAGCTACATGTTGAGTAGTCTTCCCCAGCTAGAACATATTAAATCAGAAATTTAGTGTTCTGAAATGAGAATGAGGATGACTAGTCTACTCTAGAACTGCAGATCCTTAGATGGAAGTCTATACTTGCATGTACACAGAATATATGTAAATATAATATGTAAATAAATAAAAATTCACTCACAATTTCCTTATTTATAAAACACCAACTAATAAAAAATATGCAGATATATTTGGGCATGTGTGAAAGTCCAGAGCAAGACGATCTACTAGTTTTCAGTCAGTCCCCAGGGACTTAATATACTTTCTTCCTGAAGCACCAGTTTAAGCAGAAAACATGCATCTCTACATCATCTTCTACAAGGCAGGCTCGTTGCCATGTAGAGAGTTACACAGATCCCTGTGCGTATACATGACTACAAATCAAAGACTTTGGCCATTTTCATTTTCATGCCCTATTCTAAATTATTTGGTCAAAGTGGTATCATTAAAGAATTTCATGTAACTCCATGAATCAAGCCTAAAAAGGAGCTTCCTTTTAAAAAAATGAACTAAAGATGGGACCAAAGGAAATCATGACACCTGTAATTTTGACAAAAACACTCAACTGGCTGCTCAACCACAGTGTGAACGATTTTTTTTTTTTTAAATCAAAAGCATCAGGAGAGTGGGAGTGTTGGAAATGCAGAAATAAATGGAATGTTGTTAACATTTACTGGAAGTCTAAAAATAGGTTCAGTTAATGCTAATCGCTTTCATAACCCATGTGAAGATTTCCTTCTCCTTCTATGACAAGGTGACCCACTTCATGGATGAGGGAAAAGGCTGTGGATGTTGTTTACCTGAACTTTAGTTAAGCCTTTGCTACTGTTCCTCGCAGCATTCTCATTAACAAACTGGTTGCCCAGGGCTTGGACAGGCGTACACTCTGCTGGATCAAACACTGGCTGGATGGCTGGGCCCAGAGTGTGTTGGTGAACGGAGTTAAATCCAGCTGGCAACCAGTCACAAGCGGTGTTCCCCAGGGCTCAGTGGTGGGGCCACTTCTGTTTAACATCTTTATCAATGATCTGGATGAGGGGATTGAGTCCTCCCTCAGTAAGTTTGCAGATGACACTAAACTGGGTGGGAGTGTTCATCTGCCTGAGGGTAGGAAGCATAACCAACTTGAAAGTGATGACAGAGTTTGGAAATACTTGAAAAAAGACTGGTTTTAAAATTGGTTAATAAATGTTCAATAATGACCAATATTCAACACTAATGAATCACAGAATATTAGGAGTTGGAAGGGACCTTGAAAGATCATCCAGTTCAACCCCCCTGCCAGAGCAAGATCACCCAGAGAAGGTCACACAGGAACGCATCCAGGCAGGTTTTGAATGCCTCCAGAGGAGACTCCACAACCTCTCTGGGCAGCCTGGTCCAGTGCTCTGTCACTGTGGGTATTGCCACACAGTAACTTTAATAGCTATGAATAGTACAACTAGACTCAAACAGATGCTGAAATTTGTGTAACACCAATCTTTACAGTGCAAAGCACTTAGCATTACAGCAGATACGAACTGCACTTCATGGAATACTTTGTGTGGGCTTGGAAGACAGGAGAGGCAATGTCTGATGCAGCCATACCTTCTTGGAGGGATAAAATTAGCATCAGTGTGCATTCAGCCAGCCAATGTTTCTAAATATCAGCATTACCTGCAAAAGCTGCACATGAAATTGTGTGCACGAACAGATGTGCATGCACACACAGAGGGATCTTTAACTGTTTACAGAAGAACGTGTGGCAACTTCTGGAAATTATTTTGACCATTTTCAGCATGACATTCTTTGAAATCAAAAGATAAAACTAACCAAAACATCATAGCAGTCCAACCATATTGAATATTTTAATCACAGTATCAAAGGAAATTACCATCACTAAAATCAAAGGAAAATTTAGTAATTAATCAAAAAATTAAGTACATTATTTATAAATTTTAAGCTTACAAATGTAACAGTTTATTTAAAAAAGCTTATTTAAAGCTATGCAAAAAATTAATACTGGTTGATAATGAACCTACTTCCTTTTTATTGTCAGCCCACAAATCCACTGTTAACTGAAATTAAGTTTTAGTTTGACCTCAACCATCACCAATTAAAAGAGTTAAGAGATTCTGGCACTGAACAGGCTGACTGTAAATATAAATAATCATGAAACTATATCACAAGTACTTTTCTCATTTTCCTTGATATACTTCTGGTATATAATTAAAGCTTCTCTTACGTCTAACTTCCAAAGAGCCTATGGTTTAGAGCTCTTTGAGAAACAGTGAATGGAAATTTTATTAAAAATATTAAAACTCGAAACTACTTTGAACATTCAAATTTCAGAATTAAATAATTGGATTTTGTGCACAGAATATGCTAATGAAAACCTATATTCGGACTCAATTTCGTTGTGATACTGACATTTTTTTCCTTTTAAATCAAGGGTCAAATGCTGAATATTTCAGGGAACAACTGCACCAAACAACACTGGAAACATGCTATCATAACACTAATGATGCACACATTTTTAACAGACTTCAGAGGCATTAACTGAAACCATTGTAACTAATATTATCAAGTCAGTTTGCAGTACAAACAAGATCCATAATACAGCAGCAGGTTACAAAAACCTATGGAAAATATTAATTTTTAAATTGCTAGGCTTATACCTCAGCTTTTTTTGTAGCTGGTCTTGTTCCACGTGCCATTCTTTTAAAGTTTTCAGAAACTGCTGATTGCTCTGCAAAATAAGGAGATATTTGGAACATGTTCCCTATTGTATTGAAAAGGTTACATACTAAGAATTATTATAGGGCATTTCTACAGAATAGAGTATCATAAAAATAGCCAGTAAGGTCTATTTAACACTGTGGCTGGTCTCCAAATGCCAAAGTTTAGGTAGAGTACTGTAGAGGCAAATGTGGAGTA